CTGTGGTACATTTTATAATTCCATTTATTGGTAATTTATTTTCATTATACAACTACAATATGTATAAAAGAAATATGTAATTAGTTTTGCACTCCTCCTGTTATAACTATTGTAAGACACTACATGATTTTTACAAGTTTATAATATCTTTATAGATGTGAACATTATTGTTGATTGCACCATTATACGTATTAATATCGCTACTGTAGAGTATAATTTTTATTACAGGTGCATTACTGTATAATTATATTGTTCTACTAAAATATAGATTGAGTTGTACAATAATATGCAATGATCAACTGAATTTTTAATGTGAACATATCTATGCTATTACACTGACAAAGTATTGTTATATCATGTAGAAAATATTTGTATATATTTACAAATCTTTACTTCTTTATTATAGAGTATCTGTTAACTTCAGGAGGTTTAATATGCACAATCATATAGAGATTTTATATTGAAGAAATAAAAAAAAGTGAACTTTTGATGGAATTATTTTTTATATATCTTCTTTAACGCTAAATTTAAATTCACTTGGATTCATCTGATGAGTGAACGATACGATTCATAAAATTAGATATAGAAAATCGATTAAATAACTTCGATACGCAATACGAAGTTACATTACAGGTCATGTGGTACATCATGTCAAAAATAGTTCTATGCTACACAGACTGTTCGTCTTCAAGTAAATCTAAAATTTCTCCAACAAATTCCGCAACATTTGTGTCTTTCGTGGCATGTTCTCTGATAAAATTAAGTTCCAGTAACTGATTGTAATTGGGACGGCGTGTATAATCTTTCATTAAACTAAAAATAAGGTCAATCGTTAAAGCTATGTATATGTATATAATACAGGATTCTAAGATTATTTGACTTACCATTTATCAATAAATTCTTCAAAATTAGCAGAAAACTTTCCAGCAGGTAATTTTGGTGCATCATCTTTTACAACTTGTTTTAATTGTTCAAAAGGTGTACCCCAAGATGCGTAAGGAAACTTCCCTGTTGCTAATTCAACAAGAGATATACCTAGTGACCAAATATCGGATCTGATGTCATACTGTGAAGGGTTACCCGACGGGTCTATCCTTTCTGGCTGAAAAAATGGATATGATGGAGAATTTATTGAATAGATAAACACAGATTCTTATGATATACATATATAAGTTACGTACAGCCATATACGGTTTACAACCGGCATCAATTGTTTTAGCAATAGAATCTACAAGATAACCAGAAATACCGAAGTCACAGATTTTTACTTCTCCTTTCCGGTTAATTAAAATATTACTAGGTTTTACATCCCTATGAATCACTCTTAACTGTGAATATAAGTAATGCAATGCACTGACTACCTGTAAATTTTGTCTAAAGTTAAAATTATACTGGATAAACTGGTAAACAAATAGTATTAAGCATAATTATTTAACATTTCCTTACTGCAAAAGCAATTTTTCCCAAGATATCCTCAGGAATGGCACGATCATGTTTATACACTTTTGTATAAAATTTATCAAGGCTCATATCCATAACTTCCATACAAATCCAAACATCACCTTCTCTAAATAATGCTCCATAAAATTGTACTGTATACGGACATGCTGAACTACGCATAGAAATATCTAAATCCATAAGTAATCGTTTTTGTTCCTGTGTATTAACTGTCGCTGTTATTCTCTATTAAATAAATACATATGTTAAAACTATGTTTGAAATTTAAAGAATAATATTAGTATATGTGATTATTTAAAATACCTTAACTGCCATAATAGTGCCACTTTGTTTATGTCGTACTTTATCCACTATACCGTATGCTCCACGTCCAAGAATACAGATGGTTTCTAAATCATCTGCTTCTACTACAAATGTGCTTTCTCCAATTGTTATTGTAGTTCTTTTATCTAGATTTCTTGGTGGAGTACTATAATATAAAATTTCTATATATTTATATATAGTATATTTCTGAGTTTCCATACAGTATTAGTAAAGTTGTAATGTCAAGAAGATTCTTATACTTCTAATCTAATATTTGTGTCAATATATTACAACTTAACAATATTTTAATAATATAATACTTAAAAACTATTAATTACTTTCAATTAGAGATTCAAAACAACATTGAATGATCAAAGTATTTGTACATAGAAACATAAAAGGTCAATGTAAATATTATGATAGAAAAAAGACAATATAAACAATTTAAAATTTCCATAATAATACATACACAGGCATAGGTGTCCCTTCAGAGACTTGTAGTTTTAAGTTTTTCTTTCGTCGTAGAGCCATGATTCAATGGACAATTAATAAATGTTATTAGGCCTGCAAACTTGGCAGTGCATAGAATTGAATACAATACATGTTTAAACAAACTGTAATGATTATTGTATTCTTGTTCTGTAAAAAAATTAAAAAATGTATGTGTTGATACACTACAATAATATTTGAGAAAAAGATATAGAAAATTAAAGGTTATACTACAACTACATTACAGACATATATGAGAAAACAAACGAGTAGAATAAAATCTTTTTAAAAAGTATTTTTGTCATAATATCATTACAAATAATTTCTATAGTACCTTGTTAATAACATGACGATATTTTACGACAATAATGTCAAAACTTGAAAGTTCCGTTGCCCATATATGAAGCTTTCAGTAAACTCAAACAGTCGCTTGAAATTGCTCACAACAGCCATTTCAGTTTTGTAAATTCAATCTGAACTTCTCTGCATACTAAATTACTCAAGGCGCATTATACAAAAATTGAAAATTGAAATGAAAGAATAATTAATTCGAACTTTTTATTAAATAAGAGATAATATATCCTTTTTAATATGGATATATTGTACAGAAATTAATAACTAAATATATTTATTACGTGTATTTGCTATAATTGTTCGCTTACAAATTAAAAATTTTAATCAATTTGAAATACTTTTACAAGAATATAGTATTTATAAGTATATTATTGCTATAAAGTGCAATTAATTACAGAAGTTACATAATATGTTTTATAATTATTATATACATACTAAGATTTATATTATATTTAATACTTCAAAACTATGTTCCAGTAGAATAATAGAAAACGAAGTACTGTATATGTACATATACCCAAGTAATGTGTGTGCGTAACATATCATTTAAAATAATTCTGGAATGTATTGATTATAATTTGTATTACGCGGTTGAGATCTAATAATAAATAGCATTTCGGTTGATATATATTTTGGAAAAAAAATAAAATTACCTAAAATGTGTTTGTTAAAGATCGTCGTTACTCATGTGACAAAATATGAGTGACTGTCGTAATTTAATAAATCTACCGGTTATAAAATAATTAAATATTTTTCGAAATTATTATAATTTTTTCAGCATTATGGAAAAAGTTTGTTGTGTTTGTGAAAAAACAGAATGTCCATACAAATGTCCTACATGTAAAGAGCCATAGTAAGTGTAATTTATCAGAGGTTATGTTTATATTTGATATATTAGTGGTTAGTTGTCATAAATATGTAATTAAATACTTAAGTACCTGCATAAACGGATGAATTATTTTAATTATTAAGAATTGAAAAGAACAATATTGATATTTACATATATCATAATGAAGTAAAAGGTTGTTAAAAATTCTAAACAGATTTGAGAATTTTACTAACAGTACATGAAATTATTCTTTAATCGCAAGAAAGTTATGTTTTATAAATAATATGTTTACCTTATGCATTAGAAAAATAAGTACATAAAAATTGATGAATCTTTTTTATTTTGTTTTTGTCAGTTGTTCTGCAGTTTGTTGTAAAATACATAAGGTTAACAATTGTCAACCAAAAAATGAACAAACTGAACCTATTAATGATGAGAAAATAAAATGCAAGACGTATGAATTTCCTACAGAAGACACAGTGCTTATTGAAAAATTGGAACAGTTGCGTTACAGCAAAGAATTAAAAAATATTTTGAGAAACCCACATGTACGTGATATTATGTCTGCTATTCTAACTGATGAAAATCCAACAAAGGCTATTGCTTTAGCAATGACTGAACCAATATTTGTGGAAATGGCAGATGTTTGTTTGAAGATAGTGGAACCTCCAGGAAATGATAAATCTTGTTAATTACATTCTGTGATCTGATGTATTATTTATAATAATACGTTATTAAATATTATTGCACTGGACTTATAGAAACTGAATGCATTAAAAAGTGTATATACTTTTACATGTCATAACACTATCACTTCTTAGCACATTAAAGTTAAAAACAATTAAAATTTGTAATTTTTAATTTTTGAATACTGTAATGCACTAATTATGCCTGTTTTATAAGAAAATATATTTTAAAAATTTAATTTTAATCTTCCCTTATCTTGTTAACTGTGGAATTTAGTTTCCAATTAACTGATTAATAAGATATACAGTTAACTAGTTAATAAGATACTTTCACCACTTAAAAATCTAAATTCTTGTAGCAGCAGAAGTCTGCATCAATGATTTTCATTACTTAAAACATATAAGAGTGAATAACAATTATAAGACTGTACTACTATACTTGTAGCTCATTATGTTATAGTTTAATTAAATTTGCCGACACATTTCACTTCCTCAATTTCTTACAATTTAGCCTTGCATTCAATTGACATACATAAAATCTGCTTCCGTATAATATTAAATTTTTTAAGTTCATGAATCATTTATCAAATTTTGTTTGTTTTTTGTGGCAGTCTATGACCATGAAAGTTTAATTAGTTTGTATTAACAATAACAACAGTATTGGCCATTTAACAAAGCCGCATTATGCTGACTGTTGAAAATAATAAAACATTCTTAAAAATAAAAATTATATGTATAAAAAAAGGGGATATAAAAAACAATTTTTGTACAACATTTGTGTATCTACAAGTAACAAAAAATTTACTTCGAAAATTTGTTAACAAAAATTGCACAATATTAAAAACTTATTTTAAAACTCTAAATGTTGGGAATGACGTAACGAAATGTAATTTTCGAGATCGCTCGGTATTTCTATTCCTTCCAGCTCCTTTCGAAGAATATGGTACCTCTTTCTGACATGAAAAGCTGCCATTTTTGGTTGTCTTTCTCTGGTAAATATCCCTTTCTTGTTTCCACCCACTCTTATGTATGCTAAATAAAATTTTTTTTAATAAATATTAATTATTCAATAACCGTTTTTTAATTCATATCAAAAATTATTCACTCACATTGAGCCGTTCGAAAATCAGCAAAATTCCAAATAAATTCACCAATGAAGAAGCCTTGATTTCTTAACTGATCAAAGGCTTCAAAATGTTTTGAAAATACTTCTTTCTGATATTCCTCACTCCATACATACTCAGGAAGCTAAAAAAGGTTTGAATTGGAAATACTTATTTACATCTATATCTTTATATTTATATAAAGTAACAATAAAATATTGAAAAGATTTATAGATTTATATTTTACTGTTTAAGAAATTAAACATCCCAACATGCCATTTAAATATTGGCTTAGCAGATACATTTTACCTTTACCATTTCAATTTTTATTTAACAAAAAAATGGAATTACATTTTGGATTAATACTCCTGGAAGATAGTAGAATTCCTTAGACATATTTTAATGAGCATTATGTGTGCAAAATGCTAATGTATTGTACATTCCAAAATGTGTAAAATTTAAAGTTGTATAAATACTTTTCTTTGTATCCACTTCAACTTTTAATGTGCATTTGGATTTTGAATGAAATAGGATACGAAAATAGATACTTATTTTCATATCCATTTTTGAATTATTAATTAAATTTTGATAATTATTGCTAGTCAATTATATTTGAAATTGGACTTGCAATATATAATTGACTTATAAAATTCATCGTTAAATCTGTAGTATTGCGAATATCGTAATTGCTAAATGATTTACCTCGTGTAAACCGGACATAGTATCAGCACCGTACTCCGACATAAGCACAGGCTTATTATATTTCTTATGCCATGCTTCAGCTTCTCCTATAACCCTGTTTTTAATCGCGTCCAGGCGGCCTGGGTTGTTGTACCAGGCATTATAACGATTAAAGCTGATCACATCGAGATATTCACCTGCTTTATCTTCCTACGAGTAAATTACACATATGTAGATACTTAAATATATATACTTAAGATGTGTAATAATAATAATAAACATATATAATAAACCTAAACGGATTGCTAGTTCCCCTGAGTCGTACAAAATGTAAATTTTTCGCGAACGCAAAAGAAAAGTTAGCATTTTTTCAAGGGATCGTTTCACCCCTTCAAAGTAAAACTCGGCAGGAAAAAGAATTGCAATGTGTCGTGCTTGACTTACTCTACTTACACACAAAGTTTTATAATTTTTTGAATTTCCAGATTCGATAACTTCCCTTGTTAGTCGGATGAGATAGATACACAATCATAATATATGAATATTTGATATTACTTCCAGCAAATTACAGAAATAGAGAGGGTGACCGGGGGATTAAAATTTTTGTTAACATTACGACGTTCAACGTGTTAAACCTGATCCAATCTGTAGTTATATACCTGAACCGCTCGCGCCATAGCGATGGTAACCGGCCTGGTAGGGTCGAGTGCTTTCGTGTGATGAGCGACTTGTTTAAAATATTCCCCGGCTTCAGGTAATTGCGTTCTGGGCTCGTTAGAGATGGACCACATGATCACCGAAGGACGATTCTTGTCTCTCCTTATAAGTTCTGATAGCGAGTCCTTGTGACGCGCGAGGAGAATCGGCGAAAAGTTTTCTGTGTCCACGGACGGGCATTCGTCGATAATTAAGTAGCCCAACCTTTAAAGGACCAATAAAGTATGCATTCAATTATTTAACGTAACACATTGTAGTTAATATCAATTGAAATCATTTCTTCGCGGATTTTTACGCGTTTATAATTTATACTGATCTTTATCACCAGATTTACAGAAATTTATTCTATACTTTATTCTATCGTTCCTAGAAGATTACATGTTTGTTTACATAGATCACGGACATTAAAATTTCAAAAACAGAGATTTATAATGTGTATTCGTTTTAAACTGTTACTAACTAATGTTTAAAAAATTTTATGTACCGGCACTTTCTTACTGTAACCAGTCAAATAACTGCCTATAAAATAAAGGTAAATAAGTTAGATGATAAATATTTTTTAGTGGAAAGAGAGACAAAACAGAGGCAAAGATTGGAAAACTGATTAATAAAAAATGGTAGGGTTTATATTGTTAGTATAATAGATAATGACGAATAAGAATGAAAAATGAACTTTACCGATCGGCCATGTCGAGTATTTCATCGCTGTAAGGATAGTGGCTTGTCCTGTAAGCATTTGCACCGACCCATTGTAACAATTCGTAATCTCTGGCAGCAGTGACCAAATCGAGACCTCGTCCTCTTAGGATTGAATCTTCGTGCCTACCAAATCCCCGCATATAGACAGGTCTATCATTAAGGAGTAAACTGGTGTTGGTCCAGGCCAACGTTCTGATTCCGATCGGTAACCTGTAGACGTCTACTTTGGTCTCATTCATAACGGTCAAGGTGACCTAAGAAACGAAACATTATCGACAAATTACATTTGCAATATTCCCTTTTCTTATAACGAAGAAGACAAATGAAATTAATCACTATGCTCTGTTGAACATTGAATTATTAAACGACTGACGTTAGAAATAAGAAAAGAAAGTACTCGTTGACGTTGAGACCCTATAGTTGAAATCGATTAATATTAAATTCAATACGAATTGCTATTATAATCAATTGTATTTTCAATAGGACAATTTATGATAATAACTGTAAACATAAATAAAATATTCTGTAGATGGTGAAGTGTATAAATGGGAATAAAGATGTAAAATTAAAAAAAGGTAGAGAATACTGAAAGGATTAAAAAATTGTCGAACATTGTTTAAACTTACTGTAAAAATTGAATGTTATTTAAACAATTTAGTATAATGTATAGTTCGGTCTTGGTTCGTTGTAAATTTAAATTAAATTTTCAAATAATTGCATACAATTTCGTGATAACGTATTTTTAGTCAACATATTAATTATCTATTACGGTTTCAGCCTTGAAGCATTGCATGACTAAGCTCCACTAGTCTGTAATTAACTGCTAGTGGATTTGAAGTACTTTTTGTTGATAACATTTCGTTCCTCGCGACTGAAGTAAAGAATGAATACAAAAAGTGTTTTTCTAAAAGCTGTTCTAAAGTGTTTAAACGAAATTCTTCAGTCTGAATTATATACGAAGATGATCTAATTCATTATTACAGTCTTTAGACGCCTTAAACTCTTAAATACAGTAATTACAAATAATTATTTGCCTTCATTCTGAATTATTTTCCTATCAAACGAAAAATGCTCAACATTAACACATAGATTGAAAAGAAAAGAAGATCATTCCAATATTCATCTCTTAATCCCACAATACAAGTCATTTCGGAATATAATAAATTACAAGCTCAAATGAAATTTCTCAATTTTAGTAAAAACCAGTACAAATACTACCAATTTATATTCGATTAATACAGGAATCACTAACCCTATATTACTATTCTCTCAAAATAAAAAACATTTATACCGTTCAATTTGTTACATTATTATATAGTCTAATTTATTCATGTCAAAGATATTAGCAAAAACGATATATGTATACAGTTTAGTAATAATCTAGGGTTATAAATTAGATTTCTGTGGACCCAATTCAGAGCAATCAATGTACTATTATTGTAGGATAACGTAATATTTACTGTACCTCTAACGTGTACATATAACCTGGGTTAGGGCTCATATCCCGAGGCCACCAGAGTTTAGCGAATGGCACTTTCAGGGTACCGGAGAATCCATAAACTGGCTCCTTTATAGCTAGAGTATCCTCGGCATCGAGCAGGCTCGCTCTGCAGATCGGAATTTCGTGCTCGTGTAAACCGGCCGGTTGAACGATGAATTTCACGATACCTACATCACCAATTAATTCTGTTCTTACCGTGATATCTTCGATATACACACGCGGTCTTGTGTGTAGTAAAACGGGCCTGTAAGGTAGGAATTTCTTTGTTAGCGTTCCATACACGTAATGCGTCTGTTGTTCCATTTGTTTCCATTATTAACCCTTTGCATGCGGAAACTTTTTAACCGAAAGTATTCGGGATTTTTTGAAGAAATATCGGCATCTTTTACATTCAGTATAAAGAGAAATCATACATAAACTAAGGAATACAAATATTCTACTGCAATATTTCATATATTAATACAATATTTGTTATGCAAAATTTGATATTTGGATACTGAACTGTTTTATTCTACTGTATTAATACTAGATTTACTGTACAGTTGCTGTAACAGACTCGTTTCCCTTTCGTTTTTCCAGTATTTTCTTTAGAAGCCTTTTTCGTTTGAATAGAATACAATTGAGGAGATCGTCACTGAAACGAACTCCGACAGCGAACGTGTTAATTTTTACAATTGAGTAACACAGTAAGCTAGTTTCTCGCTACTTACTGTCTTGCCGTCTTTTTGGCTAGGTAGTTAAAAGCATACCTACGTGGATATAATTGATCTGCAGTGGGTCAATGACTAGACTGCGGAACTTTAACACTTTGCGTACCGGTTAATTTTCGGAAAACTGAATTGCGACTGACAATTTTCAGTGAGATCAATTCACATCATTATACATAGAAAAACTCAGATATATTGTTATGTACTATATTTCAAATAGATAATCAATTCGAATCAAATTGAATATTTCTTTTAATGCTCTGGTAATTAGCAAAGTTGCATATCTAAGTGTCTTTATTAAAAACGAGATTTCTCGTTACCAGTACGCAATGTGTTAACCTTTTGCACTCGAGAAGCGATTCTCAGTCGCTACTTGATTCGACATAGCAAAATTATAAAATTTGATATTTAATATTAAGCTCCGTGTAATGTATAAATATTTCAAATACTGAAATAAAATTGCTATATTCCTTATTAATTTATGTGTGATTTTTCGTTAAGTTAGCTTCAGCCACTGTTAATTTCAGTTAGTTTCGCTATAAATGATATTGAGAACAACTTTTAAATTAATTTATTGTTTATTAATTAAATATATCTAAATTATCAAAATATGCTTCATTTACTTTCTTTAATTTTATCCCGTTTCCGAGGCAAAAATAAAGAATCGTAAAATAGCAAAGAATTGTTTAAATTTGAAATAGATTTGGAATTGATTAAATGAGAAAGTACTGAATTAATTTGAATACTGAATGTAAAGATCCGCGGTCTATTGATAACCGGAAGCGGGAGAATTCTTTCCTTCGACAATTTGATCGTTTTGCACTGATAGTTTACTTTTGTCCGTTACAATAGTACTGATGACGATCTGTTCGACACAGAGAAATTTTTGACGGTTCAGAGAACGGGAAATTTTCGAAAAATGCGGACACCTGGGTTAACGGGACGAACCGTTATGCTTTTGTGATGCTCTATCGACACTATTTAACGAGCGTCGCATATTGTTTTACTAACACTTTCTACGATCTTCCATGTTTGATTTTGTACGTCATCTTGTATTGTTTTTCCGTATGGATATAAACGAAATAAAAAATGTTATTTAAGTAGTACGATATTGTAATTCTCATTGAACTAGCTAATATTATATTTCAATGAAAATAACAATAGATTATCGTAAATATTTTAGTGACCTTGAACAATGGTGGCCTAACTTCTATTTTTCAGTTCTTGAGGAAAAGAAGCTTTTTTTGAAGCTTTATCAATAATACTTATCGATAATAACAATTATTACTATTAATAATAAACAATAATTACTATCACTAATACTATCTACTAACAACATGTCATTTTTCATGATTTAACATATAACAGTATCAACAATATTGTAACATTAATATTTAATTAATCCAACAATATTTTACAAAAGCTTCTTTTCTCGAGAACCCAGAAATAGGAGTTGGAGCATTATTTTGTTGCTTCATTCGTTTATATAAGAGACATAAAGTTTCAAAATCTATTAGTAGCAGCGTAGATATACATTTACTTGCCTATGGATACCGGCGTAATTAAAAAAATCAAATGTGTAACTTTGCACGTGCACAGTGCCATTGTCAACAGCGGTGTTGACGATTCTGCCCTGCGGCACGCTTGTTTGCAGCAACGTATTATCCACTGCGACCGTTATCCGATTTTTACCGCCGTACACCAAATAGGTAGATATCTCCGCTTCAAATGGCAGATGACCCATTTCATGGTTGGTCACTAGCCCGCCATTTACCCACTGAAATGTACAAAAACGAGGCGGGGATTGTATACGACTTGTATAGATTTTAACAATGACGAACCGTGTCCTTTTTCGACAGACAAAGTCGAACCGATTAAATTCTATTGCTTTCGTTAAATCTTTCTTGATCCAACCACATTTCCCATTTCCAGTACCATTATTTTGGTGCAAATATTTGTCGAGTTAGTCTTGTTCTCCATTTTTCGAGCATACTTTTCAATTTGAGATTTATTCAGTTACTTTATTAATAATACCTTAACACTAGATTTACGGACATCAATTGAAAAAGTGTTTTTACTCAACGGTGAGAACAGTAGAATGAAAATTGCCTAAATTTGTGAAATATTAATATAAAAATAAATATCTCCGGTTATAATGTTATGTAACTTTATATCAATATCAAGTTCTGCAATTGATTGCGCATATAATATTCGCAACAGCTTCGTAACTTAATTAACAACAAAAATAAAGTAATTTATACATTGAGATTTGTATACCTTTTTTATTAAATAAATGTACCATATGATTTGGAATATTTATTTATTTATTTATTTATTTAATTATCGTGTAAAATACAAGGAGACGTGAAACATCATCTTTGATTCATGGTGGATAATACGATGTTTCCCTATTATACAACCCCTCCAGTCATGATAAAAGGCTGGAACTTGGTTGAAAGCTAGACAAGCTATCGAACAGTTGATCGCTAATCCAATTTGACTTAAGGGCACTTTTGACCCCCTTTATCCGGCTATAGTTAAATTACGTAGTTAGGTCGCGAATCAAGTTAAATCACGCGGTAACCAGTTACTGGTCGATACACTGTACATGTTTTAAACATCGCTGAACTGCGGATGTCCATGCGAATTTCCCACTTTCTTTATCAAGAAAATTTCGAATAGGCTTAACGAACATCTATGGTTTTAAAACTTCAGTGAAAATTCTGGCCTTAAAGAAATCTTGTTTTGCCGTTAATATTAAAATAAAACAAATATTTGAAATACTTACCACCTGCGCGAGGTAATTCACCGAACCGAACCTGACGAAAACTCTCTGCTCCCGCCACGAAGCAGGGACGAAGAACGATCGCTGGTACCAGACAGCCCCGACGTGGTCCCTAAGTTCTCTCGAGGTGGTAATATCATTGTAGGACGAAGGCACTGGCATTTGCATCACTTTTCCTACCTATGGAAACATATGGTAAAGTAAAATGGTAATCGAAAGTACTCGAGCAAGAAAAATCTGATCGAAGTTGGAGATTTTGATTATTATCAGCAGTGATAAGAGTTAATGAAGAAACGAATCAGTCCTTGAAAAGTCGTGAGTGTATGAAATATCAAAAATTTATTATGCATATCAATGTTCATTTAATGTAATAGTAGATTCAACTTGTTATGGTGTTTTGTTTTTTAAATAAATTCGTTATACTTTCTGTTTGCATTTTTAACTGATTCTCGAATTATTCAATTATTGCTACTGCAGTTTTGTACGATTATTTTATTGAATACCAATTCATTAATTCTTAAATAACTGGATTATAGTCTCAGTGAACTTAAAAGTTTGAGAAGTCACTAATAAATATTTATTCGACATTTGTTTAATCTTACCTTGGACAGATCGTTCGCAAACCACGCCTCTTTGTAGCCCCTGAGTGAATCTCCCGTTGGGGAAACAACGAAATCCCACATACCGTCTAGAGTTTTCATCTAAGAAAAGTTAACTTCAATCACTGAAAACTTTTGCTTTCACGGTATACACATTAGATCTTAATACAGCGTGTATCTTAAGTTTGAAAGCTGTTGCTTTTTAATTCACTAAAATGATCATTCGTTTATCTAATCAAATTGTATACGCGATACATCCACGTATTGGGTTGTAACATATTGTTGTTCAGATATATTCAATGTTTTCTTGTACTATTATAGATTCATGCAGTAGTGAAATAACAGTGGTGATTTTAGGTTGACTAGAACTAACGCGCACTTGCAACAAGTCATAATTATATTATTAGAATTCGAGTATGTTCATATATGTAACCGAACTTCTTTTTGTTTTTTCTTTAAATTGCATCAACCTAATAGAGTCGTTGGCAACTACATTGAATTATGTAGTTAGATTATACGTGCATAATACGTAGTTGTACCGAAGTACCTATTATATATTCATTGACTGTGGATAACACTAACTATGTAAATTAAATGTTGCACCCGAACTTATTTACGTTACTACTTAATATTTCTACATAAATGATCGCAACAGTATAGAAAGCAATTACCTCTCGCGATTCACTTTCACGCGGATAAAGCATTCCAGGAAGAGGCGAGGGTGCATCTTCCTCCCGCGGCAAAGGTGAATATTCTATGGGTATTTCGGGATATTCAATTTCGGGACCCGATTCTCCGGCCATCGCGGCGCCAATTAAGAGAAAAACTAAACGCCACATTCCTCCTTAGTTCTGAAACAAGATACATTTTCTTCGTTGAAGGAGCAATTTCTCCTTGAAATACATTGATAATACTTATCATTGTCAGTTGTTAACACTAAACGTACCGCGAACGGTTCAAATGATCGGTTTTAAAAGTTCACTGAAAATTCTCCGTTTTTCTTCGTTCATTTAACATTAAATCGATTCCCGTATTACCTGATTAACCAATTTTTCAATCTTTGCCGTTTCTTCTGCTTCTGTTTCCAATAAGAAATATTTATTATTTAACTTGTTTACCTTTATTTTGTAACCAGTTATTTAACTAATTATAGTAAGTATAGGTATATACAAAGTGTCGGTACGTGTAGTGTTAATGATTATAACATAACATCCAATAAAATATTAGTATTTTAGAGTTATTTAAGTATCTTCTTGTAATTAGTATGTTCTCTTTTTAAGATATTAAGAATCTTTCAAATTCAAAAGTTTTACTGTAGAAAAAATGATAACGAACGAACTAATTTCTATCTTCCTTTCTCTTTTGAAACGATATATGCGTATTTTTACCTGGCGACTGTGACAAAATGTACGTTGCGTTGTCGGTCACTTGCAATGTACAACTGATATTTCTCGGTACTTTAACATTACTTGGTAGTATCAGTACCTGGCCGGATTAGCAATAAAAAAAACAAGATTAGCCTAATTTTATACCGAACTTTGCACTTAAGTACTTCAAAGTAATTTTTATTTCGATCTACACTGTATGCAAATGCAAGAAATATAATAAACGAACATTTTTAACATTAAATGTATCGGCACTTTATATATACACGTATGCCTACTGTAATTAAACGGTTATTAAAGAAAGGTAATGTTCCTTAGAAACAGAAACAAAAGGAAAGACAAAAATTGAAAATCTGATTAATAGAACAATATAAGAATTAACATAAAGATAAATGCACGGAAAAAATGTAGAATTTTAAATCAAATTTTAAAACCGGCCATTTGACCAGTCACGGCACGTTTAGTGTTGAAAAGCGTTCAACGAGATATTTCAGTAAAGCATTATGTCGGCCTCAGATAATATGTAAATTTCCGTGAACAACAGAAATTTAAAAGAAACTATGTCAATAGTGCGTAAGTAGATATTAACATCAAACGTGTATTGTCTGTTTCACTTCAAAATGCTTCGACAAACAGAGACAGGTATATGATATTTCTTAGATAAACGGCTTAACTTATTTTTTGTTGTTCTATAATGGCCCAGGCATTCTTTTCAAAGAAATGATGTGATCAATGGAATTAATGTATGAAAAATTAACGTATGAAATAATATTTAAGTAATTTTATCATATTAAATATTGATTTAAATTTATTTTGAAAACAAATTTCTATGGATCTATAATCAGTTTCTAGTCTTTATATTTATTACAAAATTTGAAAGTGAACCTTGACTAACAAAATTTTTCTGTATATTTTTTTTATTGCGCTTCTTATATTTCGAGTACCAAAATTCTTTCTTTGCGTTTAATGACGCAACATCAGTGGAGAAACTTTGACCAATTATGAATGGGTTTTTTTGTGGGTTGTCACATAACGTGTTGCTATTCAATGTTTGGTTACCGCATCGATCATTGGTGTACAAATATACTTACTATCTTAGCCATGGAATTTTTGTTTCTTTGTGCATTACCTCTGAATCGTAACTTATTGAGACGACTGAAAAGTCGTGTCGCATTAAACAAATTTGCAGCTTCGAAGAAATTGCAAGGCTATATTCATTTCAGAAAATGTACTATTAATATTTAACACTGTATCATCTACCGCTGCTGATCAAGGCAACTACTAACCTACTCAATACGATTTTCGTCATCGCGTAAGCAGGAGTGTCTGTTTTCACTTGCAAAGCTTTGTAACTTTAAAATCAATTTTTTTGTGAAGCACTCGTAATCGAAAAGTCGATTAATTAACCCAAGAACATTTCACAACAGCCCTTTTTTCAAAAGCTAACAAATGGGAATTAGACTATATGACATTTACCTTATTCAATACTGTCTATACTTCTACAGTCCCTGATCAAAAAATTAGGGCCACCATAGTTTTTATGCCACACTTGTCATGGTAATCGTAATATTGGAAGCTCAAAAGGTAATTTACTAATAATTTCTTCGTTGTATTGTTAACCCTTTGTACTCCAGAGTGTTTCACTGGAAATACTCAATATTTTCTGATGAGATACAGACAACATTTTCGGAAAGCAACTTAACGAGAAATTGCACATAAATTGAGGAACAAAATTATATTATTCCAATATTTGATATATCAAAGCATTATACAAGGTTTAATATTAAATATCTAACTTTACAATCTCGTCAAATCGATTGGCGACTGAGAGCCAGCTCTGGAGTGCAAAGGGTAAAGATCAAGAATTGAGCAAAAAAATGAAGCCTTAGTTATAAAAGATTAATATGACGAAACGACCAGACAAGAATCAGATTACTGATTTATTGCTGGTCTTCTCAAAGATGACGTTAATGGTGGCCCTAATTTTTTCATCAGCAACTGTATTTTTATACTTTCTAATAAAACTTCACCGAAAAATCCAAGTTAACTGTTATTAACTAGCTATATCGGTTTCAGTTCCGGTTCTTCAGAAACGGTTCTATGACCGTTATTTTTCGGTTATTCATTTTGGTTCTTCATGATTATTTCAAGAACCGAAAAATAGCAGTTATAGAATCAGTTCATAACTGTTTCAAAAACCGAAAAATAGCAATCAGAACCGATATGACATCGATTCCAAAGAATCGGAGCCGAAACCGATATAGCTCAGAACCGATATACCGAATACAGTTATGATTGATTTCGGTTCTTCAGAACTGTTTTAGTCGAAATTGACATATAACAGTTTTAAACAGTTATTTTCGAACCTTTTCAATCCCCGATGCAAACACACAGTTTCTTTCACCCTACACGGTTCCCGCTTCCAGAGACGGTTTCGAGGGAAAAATGGCAGCACTCGCACGGCAACCTAATAAAGGAAGTGGCCGCCTTCACGAGTGGCGAAAACGTAATCAATAATATTCGGGTGCTTGTTGACCCGGTCCAAACAGAGGTGTATTTCATGTGTATCCTGTAGGGTGTCGGGTGCAGCAATATCGGCTTCCTGGCACGGTGCCCTCCTACGAGAGCAGACTTCCCTTCCCAAAGCATCAAATCGTTTCCTCGTGTCGCACATGTGCAGTATCGCCGCTGGCCCTAATTCTTCGAATAGACACCACGTGAATTTAACAATTGGTGGCTGTCGCATTGTATTGCGGCGGGAACGATGCCCCGGCGGATCGCATCGATGCATTCCCGGAAAAGCACACGCAGTTTTTCCTAAACGTTCACCGAGAGACGCGTGACACAGCAAAGTCGATTCGGAATAAACAGAAACGGGTTGGCCCTTAACAAGTTAACTGAGGAATTTAGTTTGCAGAATCTCTGATTGTGCGCGCAATAAAATCAAATAATAAAGCGTATGCTTGCCAAACGCAGAGCACATGAATCTATAGTATATTCTAACGGACAGCTAAAGCAAAACGAAGAAGAATTACACATTTATCTGGAAAAATGAATAATTTATCGTTAAAAACACGACTACTATTTTGCATTTTAAAATGACGTGTATACTCGTCGAACGCAGTTAAGTGGTTAACACGTTACACGCTGGTTAAATATTAGCCGTTGAAAGTATGAATACGGTTCTTAGTTGCTTGCCACCGAAGAATGAGCAGTTAAAGAAAATATGAAAAACCTTATACATTTTCGTAAAACAGTGTATTTTGATTGAATATTTGTCATATACACTTTAACGACAACTAAAAATCCAACGAAACCGAAGATTCTCGTTTATAATTACACATCAATGTGTAAAACATGCATATATGTAGAGAAAAATCCTGCGTTATCGCTAGGCCAGTGTGTATAACATTAACACTAGGTTTACGAATGTTTATCATACGGTTCATTCTATCGTTCCTTGAAAAATTGATGTTCGTTCGTTTAGGTCTTGAAAATTAAGTATTCAAAAATAGACTATTAGATAATGTTTATAAAATTCAATATGCGCCAAATTAACGCGTTCTGTAAACCTAGTGTTAAAGTAACCAGTCCAATAACCGGTTACGAAATAAAAATAAACAAGTTGGACGATCAACTTTTCTCAGTGGGAACGGAAACAAAAGGAAAGACAAAAATTGAAAAATAAACTGTTAAATGAAAGAAAAAAATTGAGAATTCTCAATTAAATTTTAAAACCGATCATTTGACCGCTTGCGGTGAAAGTATTTAATATTAATCGTAGATCACTGAATTACGTATATAATTATCAGTAATATTTTTTATTGTTATATGGAAATTACAAAAGAAATATAAACTTTGGCATTTCTGTTCTAGATTAATGATATAGAGAAACGTAGATATATCAAAGTACGTAATAATACTATAAATTAATGTACGTAGATAAATACTTCAAAGACCATCCGCGAAATTTTTAGCTTTCATTTTTGTTTTTACGATATAGAAAATTCCTAAAATTGTAAAATATTGAAAAAATGTTATTAGAGTTAGTGTCCAAAATTTTTACTAACGATTCTCCTTGTTAATGTTTGATACATGAATAAAATAATATTTCAAGCGAATAAATATTGGAAAGTGGATCACAGTTGTTGTGTAAAACGGGAAAGACATAATTCGATGAAGATTGAACTAGTAAAATCTAAAATAGTCTTTAAATTTCTTCAAAGAATAGAAAAAACTTTCTACTCTATTCAATAGATTCTAATAAATTGTTTGTGATGTCAGTGTATTTATATTGGATACTGCATTTCATTCAATAGCCTTTTCTTTTCATTGCAAGATTGTGTTAACAGATTTTTCATTTAGAAAGAAAATGAAAAATTATTTAAACCAAAATTGTCCTCTGTGGACTGCGCAAACCACTTTCGAGCTGTCCAATCATCGATAAAATCTCGCTGTGGTCTGTT